GTGTGCTCTTCCGATCTAATTGTACAACAGTTTTATAAAGATATGTATCATTTAGCTATTTTTTTTTTAAATTAAAGACAGAATCACTTGGGTTTTATTTTTTAATTTGATACAATAATTTTTTGTTCAAAAAGTATGCCTATACACCTTTTTTTACCTTTTTTTTAAAGGTAATTTTTTAATGATATTACGCATTTTATTATATGTTAATGTTCAATACGAATATCGATATATACGAGTAATTTTTGAATATCACTTACCGACCGACGCGCAACAGCGGAGTTGTATCTGCAACGTCGCTATGATGATTCTGTAACAAACAAATATAAAATTCAAATTAAAACAAGTCAGAAAAAATAATCAAAATTCTAAAACAGTATGAATATATATAAAGTGTTGAGTAACAGTATTGAGTATATATAAAGTTTCTTAAAAAATAATCATATAATTTTCAAAAAAAACATCTATTTATTAAATATTATATACAATCTTCTAAGATTCTATAAATAAAAATCTTCCTTTCAATTTTAATTTTTTAAACATATTTAAATAAATGATCTAATTTAAAAAAATATTTCCATATAAAACATTACAAATGTATATATTATTACGCACACACACAAAGATAGATGTATAAATATAGATAAAAATAGATATATTAATAGTTAATATACCGTTCGTTAATAACGCGCCCTGATCGTCATATATCAGATAGGTTCAAACAAGTCCAAGCGTGTCAGTACATATCCTCAAGTGTGCATAAACGGTGTGTGTATATTTTTTTTTTTCATAATGAAAGAAAAATTAATGGAAGCCGGCTTGGAACACTTAATTCCAGTGTTTGAAGGTAAGTAAATCTCTTTAATTTTCTTTTCTTGGTGTTGCATGCTAGCATATACATATATACGTACAGGTTATAATTTTCTTAATACGTATTGAACATGTTCATGAAGCTTTTCTTGTTTCTTGTCAATGTTATGCATTAATATGAATAGAAGAAAGAATAGGATTCGAAGAATTGCGATCCCTTATCTCGGATAGTAATGAGTATAAAAAGCTTTTTCCTCGGTATGGTGACCGAATAAAATTAAATAGATTAGCTGAAAACGTCCACACCAAAGACAATCCTATCCAAGATTCCTATGAAGTGCTTTTGGATATTCCTCTGTGAGTTGTGTGTTTTAATTTAATAAATATTTACTGGAATAAATGTTATTTTTTTGCATTTGCGTAAACTCATCATGGCCTTTACTACTTTAGTAGTAATAGCGTTTACTACTTTACTATTTTATTCAGCTTTTTTCCATATGAAATTATCTATTTATTTAATCAATAATGTCAAATACAGAATTGAGACGTTAAACGAAGAAAACTCGTATCCAATTCCCGAGCTGCCCGAGATAATAAAAGAAAAAGAAGTGGCGTGTGAACCTCCAACCAAAAAAAGAAAGGAAGTATTTAATTTGAATGAATTACTGAATTCTTGTAGAACGCGACAAGCGATTTTAGCATTGTACAATTGTAAAAAAGAATTAGACAGTGCGTGTCAATCATATTTGGTTGACATAATTGTACATTTTCTAAATATCGAGCCATTTCGGTATGTATATAAAGAAATTATAACCTCTTGATTTAATCATATGTTATTAGATTTTTAAGTACATTATCGAATAATTGTACAACTTTCTTTCATTGTATAATTGAAAATTCAACTTTTAAATTAAATTCTTTGGATAGATATCAATATTGCTATATTAATAAAAATTATTTTATTATATAAAGTTTCAATTTTATTAAAACACTAAGGAAGATATACAGATGTGTATAAAATATCATTTTTATAACATATTTTTTGTATTATGTTATATTTTTAAAATTCTAATAAATTTTTTTAGCCGTCTTACAAATGACGATTATGATTACATATTAGATGCTATAATAGAAGTTTTCCCTAAGGAAGTAAAAGAAACCTATTATATTCCACCTATAAGAAAATGTAATTCAAAAGATAATAGATGTAGCGTGGCCAGAGGTAAACTAGTTGATAAATATAAAAATAAAATTACATTTCTGCGAACTGCTGGAATTCTACCACACTGCCGAATTAGGAAAGATCATTGTGAGAACAATGTGGAAATCTCAGGTGCAGTATTAGTCATGCGATGGTTGTTATATTAATATGTTATGTTACATTTTTATATTAATTTATAGTAAAGAATCAATTTTATTTATTAAATAATTATTTATCAAAATATTATTGCAAAGAGTAATATAATATTTGTAGTTATTTTTACAAAGAAGTATTTTATATATATATATTAGCGTTTGGAACCTTTTTTTTAATGCTTATAATTTATGAAAATTTATTTTAAAGTTAAACAATAACGCAGATTTAATATGGCTGCACAATAATCGGAATCCCTGGGAAGAAGTTGTACAAAAGTGAGATGCGACTTTTTCTATTAGAGAAAAGATATTTTATTCATACAAGAATCTAAAAGAAATACTTTTAAATTGTCCAATTTTAAAACATTCGGAGGGATTTTTATTGGTAATTACTATAATATATATTACAACTTATAAATTCACATTCTAATAGCTTATTTATAAATATTTTTTTTAGATTGATAACAATTTTAAGAAAAAATTTTCAAATAATTATGGTAAAATATTTTTAAATTTCGAAAATGTATTTGAGAAATTACTAAACATCAGCAAATCCCACTTATCTCAAAGTGATTTGTTACTTTTGGAAATTATAAAAGATAAAGAAAATGTATCGAAAGGTTGGTATTATTATTTATATTGTGTTACTAGGTAAATTATTATAACAATAATAAATTATTTGCTAATAAGTATTGTAATTGACTATGCAGAATTTTTCCAAAGGTGTATTTAGATAATATATTGGACTCATTACAAATTCTATACATTACTTGATGCTGTATTTATTGTTTTCATTATTGCCTTCAAAATCAAGATATAAAAAAGGAACGACTAATTGGAAACCTAATACTGAAGATAGTCGAAGAGGAGTTGTTGTACAAATTAAGGTATATTTATTTTACAAATTGCAG